TAGTTAAAATCAATTTTGTCACTTTTTTCTTCGAGGGTTTATCCAAATGGATTGAAATTTTGCATAAATATTCTAGTGCTCAAAACAAATACAAATAAAATATCCTAAAATTTTTTTGAGCAAAGAACCAAGTAGGAAATACATTTTCAATTTTGGACTAGGGGCGACCCTAGTCAAAATTAATTTTGTCACTTTTTTCTTCGAGGGTTTATTCAAATAGAATGAAACTTTGCAAAAATATTCAGGTGCTTCAAACAAATACAAATAAAACATCCTAAAATTTTTGGAGCAAAGAACCAAGTAGGAAATACATTTTCAATTTTGGACTAGGGGCGACCCTAGTCAAAATCAATTTTGTCACTTTTTTCTTCGAGGGTTTATCCAAATGGATTGAAATTTTGCATAAATATTCTAGTGCTTAAAACAAATACAAGTAAAACATCCTAAAATTTTTGGAGCAAAGAACCAAGTAGGAAATACATTTTCAATTTTGGACTAGGGGCGACCCTAGTCAAAATCAATTTTGTCACTTTTTTCTTCGAGGGTTTATCCAAATGGATTGAAATTTTGCATAAATATTCTAGTGCTTAAAACAAATACAAGTAAAACATCCTAAAATTTTTGGAGCAAAGAACCAAGTAGGAAATACATTTTCAATTTTGGACTAGGGGCGACCCTAGTTAAAATCAATTTTGTCACTTTTTTCTTCGAGGGTTTATCCAAATGGATTGAAATTTTGCATAAATATTCTAGTGCTTAAAACAAATACAAGTAAAACATCCTAAAATTTTTGGAGCAAAGAACCAAGTAGGAAATACATTTTCAATTTTGGACTAGGGGCGACCCTAGTCAAAATCAATTTTGTCACTTTTTTCTTCGAGGGTTTATCCAAATGGATTGAAACTTTGCATAAATATTCTAGTGCTTAAAACCAATACAAATAAAACATCCTAAATTTTTTTGAGCAAAGAACCAAGTAGGAAATACATTTTCAATTTTGGACTAGGGGCGACGCTAGTTAAAATCAATTTTGTCACTTTTTTCTTCGAGAGTTTATCCAAATGGATTGAAATTTTGCATAAATATTCTAGTGCTTAAAACAAATACAAGTAAAACATCCTAAAATTTTTGGAGCAAAGAACCAAGTAGGAAATACATTTTCAATTTTGGACTAGGGACGACCCTAGTCAAAATTAATTTTGTCACTTTTTTCTTCGAGGGTTTATTCAAATAGAATGAAACTTTGCAAAAATATTCTGGTGCTCAAAACAAATACAAATAAAACATCCTAAAATTTTTGGAGCAAAGAACCAAGTAGGAAATACATTTTCAATTTTGGACTAGGGGCGACCCTAGTCAAAATCAATTTTGTCACTTTTTTCTTCGAGGGTTTATCTAAATGGATTGAAATTTTGCATAAATATTCTAGTGCTTAGAACAAATACAAGTGAAACATCCTAAAATTTTTGGAGCAAAGAACCAAGTAGGAAATACATTTTCAATTTTGGACTAGGGGCGACCCTAGTTAAAATCAATTTTGTCACTTTTTTCTTCGAGGGTTTATCCAAATGGATTGAAATTTTGCATAAATATTCTAGTGCTTAAAACAAATACAAGTAAAACATCCTAAAATTTTTGGAGCAAAGAACCAAGTAGGAAATACATTTTCAATTTTGGACTAGGGGCGACCCTAGTCAAAATCAATTTTGTCACTTTTTTCTTCGAGGGTTTATTCAAATAGAATGAAACTTTGCAAAAATATTCTGGTGCTCAAAACAAATACAAATAAAACATCCTAAAATTTTTGGAGCAAAGAACCAAGTAGGAAATACATTTTCAATTTTGGACTAGGGACGACCCTAGTCAAAATTAATTTTGTCACTTTTTTCTTCGAGGGTTTATTCAAATAGAATGAAACTTTGCAAAAATATTCTGGTGCTCAAAACAAATACAAATAAAACATCCTAAAATTTTTGGAGCAAAGAACCAAGTAGGAAATACATTTTCAATTTTGGACTAGGGGCGACCCTAGTTAAAATCAATTTTGTCACTTTTTTCTTCGAGGGTTTATCCAAATGGATTGAAATTTTGCATAAATATTCTAGTGCTTAAAACAAATACAAGTAAAACATCCTAAAATTTTTGGAGCAAAGAACCAAGTAGGAAATACATTTTCAATTTTGGACTAGGGACGACCCTAGTCAAAATTAATTTTGTCACTTTTTTCTTCGAGGGTTTATTCAAATAGAATGAAACTTTGCAAAAATATTCTGGTGCTCAAAACAAATACAAATAAAACATCCTAAAATTTTTGGAGCAAAGAACCAAGTAGGAAATACATTTTCAATTTTGGACTAGGGGCGACCCTAGTTAAAATCAATTTTGTCACTTTTTTCTTCGAGGGTTTATCCAAATGGATTGAAATTTTGCATAAATATTCTAGTGCTTAAAACAAATACAAGTAAAACATCCTAAAATTTTTGGAGCAAAGAACCAAGTAGGAAATACATTTTCAATTTTGGACTAGGGGCGACCCTAGTCAAAATCAATTTTGTCACTTTTTTCTTCGAGGGTTTATCCAAATGGATTGAAACTTTGCATAAATATTTTAGTGCTTCAAACAAATACAAATAAAACATCCTAAAATTTTTGGAGCAAAGAACCAAGTAGGAAATACATTTTCAATTTTGGACTAGGGGCGACCCTAGTCAAAATCAATTTTGTCACTTTTTTCTTCGAGGGTTTATCCAAATGGATTGAAACTTTGCATAAATACTCTAGTGCTTAAAACAAATACAAGTAAAACATCCTAAAATTTTTGGAGCAAAGAACCAAGTAGGAAATACATTTTCAATTTTGGACTAGGGACGACCCTAGTCAAAATTAATTTTGTCACTTTTTTCTTCGAGGGTTTATTCAAATAGAATGAAACTTTGCAAAAATATTCTGGTGCTTAAAACAAATACAAGTAAAACATCCTAAAATTTTTGGAGCAAAGAACCAAGTAGGAAATACATTTTCAATTTTGGACTAGGGGCGACGCTAGTCAAAATCAATTTTGTCACTTTTTTCTTCGAGGGTTTATCCAAATGGATTGAAATTTTGCATAAATATTCTAGTGCTTAAAACAAATACAAGTAAAACATCCTAAAATTTTTGGAGCAAAGAACCAAGTAGGAAATACATTTTCAATTTTGGACTAGGGGCGACCCTAGTCAAAATCAATTTTGTCACTTTTTTCTTCGAGGGTTTATCCAAATGGATTGAAACTTTGCATAAATATTTTAGTGCTTCAAACAAATACAAATAAAACATCCTAAAATTTTTGGAGCAAAGAACCAAGTAGGAAATACATTTTCAATTTTGGACTAGGGGCGACCCTAGTCAAAATCAATTTTGTCACTTTTTTCTTCGAGGGTTTATCCAAATGGATTGAAACTTTGCATAAATATTCTAGTGCTTAAAACAAATACAAGTAAAACATCCTAAAATTTTTGGAGCAAAGAACCAAGTAGGAAATACATTTTCAATTTTGGACTAGGGACGACCCTAGTCAAAATTAATTTTGTCACTTTTTTCTTCGAGGGTTTATTCAAATAGAATGAAACTTTGCAAAAATATTCTGGTGCTCAAAACAAATACAAATAAAACATCCTAAAATTTTTGGAGCAAAGAACCAAGTAGGAAATACATTTTCAATTTTGGACTAGGGGCGACCCTAGTTAAAATCAATTTTGTCACTTTTTTCTTCGAGGGTTTATCCAAATGGATTGAAATTTTGCATAAATATTCTAGTGCTTAAAACAAATACAAGTAAAACATCCTAAAATTTTTGGAGCAAAGAACCAAGTAGGAAATACATTTTCAATTTTGGACTAGGGGCGACCCTAGTCAAAATCAATTTTGTCACTTTTTTCTTCGAGGGTTTATCCAAATGGATTGAAACTTTGCATAAATATTTTAGTGCTTCAAACAAATACAAATAAAACATCCTAAAATTTTTGGAGCAAAGAACCAAGTAGGAAATACATTTTCAATTTTGGACTAGGGGCGACCCTAGTTAAAATCAATTTTGTCACTTTTTTCTTCGAGGGTTTATCCAAATGGATTGAAACTTTGCATAAATATTCTAGTGCTTAAAACAAATACAAATAAAAGATCCTAAATTTTTTTGAGCAAAGAACCAAGTAGGAAATACATTTTCAATTTTGGACTAGGGGCGACGCTAGTTAAAATCAATTTTGTCACTTTTTTCTTCGAGGGTTTATCCAAATGGATTGAAACTTTGCATAAATATTCTACTGCTTTTAACAAATACAAATAAAACATCCTAAAATTTTTTTGATTAGAAATGTGTTAGCTGAGTATTAGAATGCTCATACAAAGTTTCACTGTATTTGGATAAACCCTCGAAGAAAAAAGTGACAAAATTAATTTTGACTAGGGTCGCCCCTAGTCCAAAATTGAAAATGTATTTCCTACTTGGTTCTTTGCTCAAAAAAATTTTAGGATGTTTTATTTTTATTTTTTTTGAGCACTAGAATATTTATGCAAAGTTTCAATCCATTTGGATAAACACTCGAAGAAAAAAGTGACAAAACGAAAAAAAATTTCCTTATCTTAAAACACTTGACAAAATAGCGACATAATTCAGGATTAATTACTTTTTAATAATATTTTAACATTTATGAGAAAACGTGGTTCAAACAAGTGTGAAGTATGGCCGAGATTTGGACCAAAATCAGCTATTCTGGTTCATAGTGTTCCCGAGGGTGACAAAATTCAAACTAAGTGTTTTTATAACTGACATAATTATGACATAAATTAGGTATAATTTTTGAACTGTGTCGATATGGGTCTCGGCCGTACTTCACGCCCACGTATTTTACCTAGTCATTCACAAAACATCAAATAAAACAAACTTCATCAAAATTTACGTTTTTTTATTTTATTTTATTTCAAAATTGAGAGAAAAAAGTCTATAATAATATTTAATTTTTTTTTTTTTTGTATGTTATGTATCAATTTATATAACTTTATATCAATCCTCATCATCTTTTTCCGTTATGAATACAATTTGTATTTAATTATCATATACAATTATGTTAACGATTGCAGTAGTTACAGATAATCTTTAATCATTTCACTTGTTATTAATTTTATTATTACTTGTTGTCTTACTTTTTAAGAAAAAAAATTGGGACAGTTTGACGATATGACAGTAAAGTCGCCTTGTTTTAGAATTTTCATGACAGAATTAAAGAAAAATTATTTTCTTGAATTAAAAAGAACTTTTTTTAACGTCGATCACGTTCACGAGATCTATCACGTCTTTTATATGAAGATGAATGACCTCTGGGCGAACGACTACGACGAGCACTATTGTGAGGTGATCTAGAATTTCGTCTTGAATCATAACGAGATGAAGAGGACTTATTATTTTCACGTTTTGAATCATACTTGCGCTCACGACTCCTGCTTCGATGAACTCTCGATCTCCCATCCAATTCGCGAGCTCCTACATATCGTCTACGATCAGACGATGACTCATATGATGAACGATTACGGGATCGGTCAATATCTTTCTTACGTGGTGCAGCTGTTTTCTCCAACTCAACAAGTTTCTCACGAATTGACAAGAAACCTAAATGTAATTTACCACCAAAGTGATCAGCTAAACGAACATCATTGTCATGAATTCCCAAATAAGCAGAACAGACTTCACATACGCGCAACTTTTGCTGTTGATAGCTACTTGCTGGTATACTTGAGCGATATTCATGCTCAGCACGAGCTTTCTTAGCACGCAACTCTTCAATTTCACCCATAAGTTGCATTGATTCCTCAACCTGACCAGCTTCACCTAAAGCCTCGGCTTTTGCCAATTTTTTACCTATTTCCTCGGCTAATTCATGGACGGCATTTGCTTTCGTTTGAACTTCTGCTGACAATTCTTCTTGTGTCTCAGCTAATCGTCGCTTTGCAGCTTCAGTACGTCTATCGCAGTCAGCTATGAATGCTTGTAGGTGCTCCATTGCCTAATATAGATTAATGCGGGGTTGTAATTGAGTATTTAGGGACAAAAAAAAGCTAGCTCACCTCAACATCATAAAAATAGTCTTTCTTCAGTTGTGCCTTCTCATAATCAGCGCGTAACGCCAAATCATGGACCTTTAAGCACTCCCCCAAGTCCATTCGCTAGACATTTTCATAAAAATGTAAAATAAAAAAGTAAGCCCACCCAGTTTTGTTTAAGTCAGATCCAGACCAAACATTGGGCAAGAATACAAGGAGAAAAATACAATTTGTCATTTAGTAAAATTAAAAAGGAAAATTTTAAAAAAATTGTTTTTTTTTCTTCATAATAATGAAAAATAAAATGAAAGAAAATAAGAGAAAATATCAAAAAAAATCTACAATAAATTGTGAAATTTTTTTTTTGTTTTGTTTAAATTTTTTTTAAACTTTTGTTTTTTTCTTACCAAATTGTGTAGTTTTAATGTGTGACAGAAGGTATCGTAAGGTCAATAATATTCGATTTCGAACGATATACAGTAATAAAACAAGAGACAAAAATTTCATTTCTGATTTGCGAACTTGCGAATTATTAAGTATTATAAATTTCCTGCCAGCAATAATTGTTTTAATAATTTGTTTTTTTTAGCTGATTTTATTGAAAATTTTTATGTTACGTACCCCAAAAACGAACTTAATAAGTTTCATGACGATAAGTGTCAAACCATTGATTTTTATACTATTTTATTTTATTTATAAATACATGTAAATCAAACCGAGGCATAATTAGCGAGTATATAACGAATTCAAAAACTAGGTCTAAATCAATGATTTGAACATAATTAATTGCACTTATCGATAGCACGAAACTTGCTACTTACAACAACATTTTCGGCCTATTTCAATCAATCTTTTTCGGACATAAATATGTACATCCAGCATAGCATCATAAATCATGTAAATCCACGTAATTTTGTTGGGGCTGATTGATCAATATGTGAATATGAATTCGAAAAAGGGCAAATTGTGAATTTTTTAGTTTTTATCGAAACAAGACTAAGGAGAGTCATGAATAAAATTAAATCAAAAAGGAGGAGAGTTTACACAACTAACTAAACTGATTCCTAGACACTGTTTTTTGTACTTTTAACTTTTAAAACTTAATTCACATAAACTTCCGGAAGATCCAGATCAATCTTCACAAAAGTTGTCTACAACTGAGAATGAGATTACTCACCGTTGTTGCGAGGATGTCGTGTGGACAACAACCGACTAGAAATGATTTGCAGACTCGAGCATCGCTGAATTTAATTGAATTTGAAACCTCACCTAAAAAATTTATCGCATTTTACTTTGATGATAACAAGAAAAACTTTAAAATTACCATTTCTGCCAGTTCCCATGAGCTGATCCAGCATTGCACGCATCTGATCGTGGGCTGTCATGTTTAATAATATGAATATGCACTTTTTAACTCTTTAAAATACGATATAATTGATTAAAATCATTAATTAAAGTTTTCAAAAATATTTTCAATTATTTTTTTTCTTCCAAGTTTGCGTTGAAATTTGAATTTCAAGTAACCGTTATTTTATTTTGACAAAAGAGATCGCTTGCAACACTGAATTATGTTTTTCAATTAATATCACTAATCTAAACATGATTGGTTAATAAAATTGAGGTTCTTCTGTGTACTTTCTGCAATAAAGTTAATTAAAATTTGTATGCGGCTTATAATGGAAAAAATCATTAGAATTTTTGAAACCCGATAAATTTTTGTTTACATTTTGTCAAAATATTTGTTGTCATTTCAATTTAAATAATTTTTCGACTAATCTAAAGTTAATTAAAGCATAATAAATAATTATCCACACGTCTTTTACAACAGTTGAACAAATGAAGGAGAGCGATATAGCATAACTTTTCACAAGGACTCAAAAACAGCAACAACAAATAAACATTGAATTTTTTCTTTTCTCAAACTTTTTTTTGTGTTGATCACAATGGATTTTTGTGAATTTATACAGACACCGAAATTAGATAGCGTAATACTACATCGACAATTGAAACATCCAATAAGAGGAAGCTTATGCCTAACATTCTCTCACGTAATTGTCAGCGCGAGAGATAATGAAAGAAAAACTGATGATGAAGAATTATGGGTAAGATAAGAACTTTAAAGCTCTATATGGAACTAACTTCTTCTCTTATCTTTTGTAGCTTCTACATCAGAGCATCGATACAATTGAACGAAAACCTTATTTAGTCAATGGGCAATTAATGAATGTCAATGTTCCAGGAAAAGGCCACAATATTGTATTAAAATTAAAAGACTTGAGGATAGTGACTTTAGAGATTCCAACCGCCCAAGATTTCCTTAGTGTGGCTTCGTCAATTGAACAATTGAGTACATTAAAGGATCCAAAAACACTTTATGCATTCTATTATCGTCCAATTTATCACCTTTATTTGGAAAACGGATTCTCAATATTCAGGTATGAGACATAACATATGGCAATGCTATGACCTACTTAAAATGACTCTATTTTTAGACCAGAAATAGAATTTTCAAAACTGCTAGCTTCAGACGAGTGGCGATTATCGACAGTCAATGAGACTTACGAGATATGTCCAAGCTATAATGGAAAGCTTGTTGTTCCAAAATGTATTACAGACGAACAAATTATAGCGTCCTCAACTTACCGTGATCTCGGACGATTTCCATTAGTTTGTTATAAACATGAAAATGGCGCAGTTCTTATGAAGTCATCACAGCCTAATGTTAATCATACGAGACGATGTAAAGCTGATGAAGCTATCCTTAACTTCTTGTTGAATAAGACACAAAGAGGATATATTATAGATACAACAGGTGGAAAGAACAAATGGAGTTGTGAAAATGAGCAGCATTATCATTTATGGAAAAAGTTTATTCGTCCAATTGGAAATGTTGCTCATCCATCAAGCTATCTTGACTGTTTTTCAAAATTAATTGAGGCATGTAATGACATATCGTCATCAACTGAAAAATGGCTTACTAGACTTGAATCATCTGGATGGTTAACATTAGTATTAAATTCTCTGAATACAGCATGCATTGTTGCACAATGTATAGCACAGGAAGCTGCACCCGTTTTAGTCCACGGTGGTCAAGGAATGGATTCAACACTAATTGTCACGTCTCTCGTTCAAATTATTTTAAATCCAGACAGTCGAACATTCCGTGGACTTCAAGCCTTAATAGATAGAGAATGGATACAAGGCGGACATCCATTTGGTACGAGACATGCTCAATCATGTTACACACCATCACAAAATCGAGTCAAGACATCTGGTGCAACTTTTGTTCTGTTCCTTGACTGCGTTTATCAGCTTTATCAACAATTTCCATTAAGTTTCGAATTTGATCCTCAATTATTGATAATGTTATTTGAGCATAGCTACTTCTCACAATATGGAACTTTTATCGTTGACAACGAAAATGAACGAATGGAACTTATGGCATTTACAAAGACAACATCATTATGGTCGCACCTTAATCGACCAGATGTCATAACTAATCTCTTAAATGCTGGTAAGTCTTCTTATCTCAAACAATTAAAGTTAATATTTAATTACTGTCTCTTTTATGTCTTTAAACAGCTTACGAGCCAAATCAATCCATCATATGGCCATCAGTCGCACCTGTTTCATTAGTTCTCTGGTCAGATCTTTATCTACGATTTGTTGTTGAGAGTAATCAAGTTAAAAAGATTAAACATCAAGTGGAGACGATGGTAAGTACTGAAAAGGAATTGCGGTCGCGTGTGATACGATTGAGGAAGCAACTTAATGATTTATTGAAAGAATACGAGGAGCTTAATGATGACAAAGAGAAAAATGACGACAATAGTAACAAAAATATTAATGTCATGAATGGTGCTATTTAACTACTTTACTTTAAATTTCCAAGTAACAATTATTAAAATTTTGGTCAATTTTGTGGACAAAACGGAAGTGCATTTTTTGCCATTGAAAATCTTGTTGACAAATAACGTTTGCAAATTATTTGAAGAATACCGGTTATTATAGATTCAAATATTTTATTAACCGATTCAAAAAATAACGGCAATAATAAATTTGAAGTTGAACCGTTTTGTAATATTTGAAAAACCGATTTTGAAATGCTAACGGTAATTTAGTATGAATTAATTGAGAAAAATGCACTCTAATAAATTACCTAATTTCACATTATGATGAAACTCTCTGCAACTTTGCGGTCTAAAATGCTTTAATATTGCATTTTTTTATATGCCTTTATTATCAAAACAAAAAAAGATTAATTATTATTTCATGACTATAAATTCATTATTTCCCAACTCTCTGTACTGCCGATATTCTTGCAATATGAGGCTATGAATGAACCCGATAGATAGTGTATGTAAATAAATTAAATGTGTCTCTCTATATTCACTAATATTTAAGATGATAACAAATAACCAATTGCAATTAAAGAATTTCAAGATCAATTTTTATTTCTAAAAGGAATGTCGCTAAAAATAGATGTATTAAAAATGAATTTAAATGAATAATGATAATAACTATGAGTATGATAAGATCTATCTTAGATGTATCTAGTCATATGTGATTTATGTTTTCCTGAATTTATGTACAACGATGTATTACCAGAAATTGGAATCGATCAATTAAATTTTAACTGTAAACAGATAATTTAAAAAATGTTGTAAAACCTTTCAACTCCTTGAGTTTTCGGAAAAATTTGTGTGGTTTTAGAATTCTATAGTGACTTAAAACCGACCAAAAATAAAACCTTAGAAATTCATTTTAAAACATTTATAAGGTTTGATAAACTGTTGAAAGGTTTTAGAAAATAATTGATGTTAAAACCATACAATTACTTTGAAAGTGAAGCATTTGAAAGGTTTTCAAATAAAAATTAAACATTTGAAAGGTTTTAAAACACAAAAATTTATAAAACCCTAAATCTACTAAATTAAGATAGTATTGCATACAAAACCTTTTCTATAGTCCTATACGCTTCCATTCATAAGAAAAATTCTCATCAGGTCAATTATACAATAACTCAATTCCAATAGAACATATCAAATTGAGTTTCTTTCCATCACATCTTCTAAATTCATTTAATTCCACGCCAGTGACTTTTACTGTAAATGCCCTTGAAGCTTAAATACAAAATTACATTTACTTATTATTCTCATTTAATCAGAAAATTTTATAAACTCGATGTGTACACCAAATAAAAGAAATAAAACAAAATTATTCATTCCAATATGAAATGCCTATGTGGATTTAATTTTATTAATCGTCAAGAAGAAATGTCATTTTGAGACTAAAGCCAGCCGCAAGATTGAAACTGTTCTTTTTCCAAGTATTTAACGAATTTAGGTTTTCGAGAAAGATTTTTGTGAAAAAGTCCACAAGTCAAATCACGAGCAGATGTGCAGCAAAGATGATAACAGAGAGAATTGAGATTTTACCTCTAGACATTTGATTCCACTTAATATTCATGAAATTTTATATCAATATCGAAAGTTGTTGCTTTCTACCTGCAATGTATCGATTGTGAGTTATTTATGGATGTCTGGATGTGAAGGAAATGAAAATAGGAAGGATGCTGATGTAATAATGGAGATTGCTTTGTTTTGAGAGTTTGGAGTTTCCTGAAATAACTGAAACTTCAACAAGATATTAATTGGATTTCAGAATCATCAATAATTATGATCAGAAACTTTTAATTCTGCTGAATAAAAATTAATGAAGCTGAATTGAGCCTAATAACGCTGAGTAATATTAAATTGAAGTCAATATCGCTGAATATTGCTGAATTGAAGTCAATTAACGCTGAATATTTCTGAATTGAGGTCATTAACGCTGAACACTTCTGAATAAAACCCATTATTGCTAAATACTTCTGAATTGGAGTCAATAAGTCTGAATACTGCTGAATTGAAGTCAATAAAGCTGAATACTGCTGAATAAAAGTGCTTAATAACGCTGAATAGTTTGAATTCAAATTTCATTTTTCCGTTAAAACTAATAAGATTTCTTTATACCTTACCAATAGGAAAATGAACAAAAATTAAAGATAAGCAGTCACAAAACACAAATAATCAACACTTAATTGCAAATTACATTACAAAGTGACTCTGTGACTTGATTAGCATGAATGATTAATGAGTTGATGAAGTGTGTATTCTTGAATAATGTTTCTCCATTAAGAACTAAAATAAATATCAAATGAAAGCAGTAAGTGTGGCATTAAGTAGCACTCAGGAAGCCATAATACTAAGACAACATTTTCATTTGAATATCTCATTCATTTGACTGACATTTAGCTTAACATGACGTGCTTATTTTGCGTGCTAAAATGTGCACTCAAACAATTCAGGAAAGTAACTCATTTGTCTGATAAATTCTATAGCTTCATGCTTAAAAATAATTCTTTTCCATTCATTCAATAAAATGAGAAACGTGTTAATGTGAAAATGAAATATTTTATTTAATTGCGGTACAAAATTTACATGCTTTATATCCTCTGTTAAAAATTAATTAAGGTCTGATGAGTTTCTATTCATTTTTGCTCTAATAAACTTTACAGAAATTTCTTCGAATTCATTTTGGGGCATTGAAAAAAGAAACGCATTTATGAAAGGTATGTGGGTTCACGATGAATAGCATAAATTATTTACCACAAACGTGCTGTGTAGGTTGAAAAATTAGAGCTTTTTGAGTAAAATTCTAGTGACGTTCTTTATTTTTTGGAATCAGACAATAAAACTTTCAAAAACTGTTGAAAGGTTTTAAAACTTTCAGAAACTGTTGAAAGGTTTTAAAACTTTCAGAGGTGTTGTAAGGTTTCATATTTTTCAGTGCTGTTGTAAGGTTTCAAAGTTTTATTGTTGTTTAAGGTTTTGAGAAACTGATGTGACGATTTGAAACATTCTTGTAACTTTTGAATACTGTTGTATAGTTTTGAGTGATTCTGATTCAAGTTTTGCGATTTTATGATTTCAAATCTTAATCTAAAACTGTCGAACGGTTCTGAAACTCTAAAAACACTGTTTTATGTTTTCTGTTTTCCTTTTAATTCCTGCAAGATTTCAAATGTGATCCACGTGTCAACTTTCTCATCTAAGTGTCCTTACCGCCTTCTTTACATTAAAAGATCATGTCCTTTAATGAAAGAAGATAATTTTTTTATTGGTGACTTGCCACACAAAAAGGCGAAACTTGAACCTTTCCAAAAGAACAATTTTCATTACAATAAATCTTTTAAAAAAGAAAATTCATGAATTATTGCTGGAAAATAAATTCTTTTTGGGCTTACCAAGCATGTTTAACAACAAAACTGCAGTCAGTAATTTATTCCACGTGCTAATGTCCTTAAATAATGAACAAATCTGCCACAAATCTAAATTGACATTTTTTTAGAATAAGGAGAATCGATAATTGAGTTGCAATCTGAGATTCTCACGGGATCTCTCATTTGTTTGTGGAATAAAGCTTTTACAGAACTTTCAAAAAGTTCAAAGCTCAAATCTTTATTTACAAAATGTATTTCTTGTCAAATTCAGTCTTTAAATACACAAATAAAGGCTGTGCCATTGAGTTTCTTCTATGTAATAGCTTCAAGTTGCATATTTATTGTATTAAAAGCTTGAAGAATAGCCAAAAATTCTAAATATGGAAATAAAAAAGTTGTTTAACCTGAAAATTTTAAAACTTTTCTGAAAGACTCAAAAATAACAAATTTTTGAAAGTTGCCAGCTTTGAATGCTCTAAACAGATTCAAAACTCTCTCATCATCATACCAAAATCACATCAAAACAAGTCATGATTCATTAACAGTCACGACGGAGTCAATTTAAATGATTTGCTGGTTTTAGGATAACAAAGAAGAACAGAATTTCTTTACAATAATCAACAGGCTCCCACGCACAGTCTCTCATTTATTATGCGGTCTCTCGTTCTGTTCGCTGAAAACAAGTAATTGATGAGGCAGCATTTACAATTTTCATCACGATCTTACAGCAGTTCAAAAAAAGCTCCATTAAATGTCGCTCAGGGGTGAAGCCAGGAAAGGGGGAATGGGTGGGTTCTACTTGCTGGGAAAATCTTTTCAATTCCTGGCTGCACACCTGGCTCCGCTGAAAGTCGCAAAACATAAAGGATAAAAATCAATCACACAGCATGCAAAGAGTGGCTTTTTCTTCTTTTTTTCTGTCTCTTTATTAAATTAACTTGTCAAAATAAAAAATATATTTATATATATCATATGTATGTATGTATATAGTCCCCCATAATAATGTTTAACATACTCAAATAAAAGAAAATCTAAACAAAGCGAGAAGAGGGCGAACTTCCAATGCGTATGACATTTTTATAACTTTTCTCGTTTAGCTTTAGATACAGTTTGATTTAGGAGCTGATAAAGCTCAACAGTGGAATGAGTAAGTAATGTTCAATAAGAGTTCATCATGCATTCAATGAATGGGTTGCAGTAAGTAATATTCTAGAGCTTGAAAACAGAGTTTTTGCTTGTTTTTATTCCATGATTTAATAAATGGTCAGGTCATGGAATGGAAATTGCTTGCTCCATTTGCTGATTATTTACTATAACAACATTCATTGAACTGATCATGCTTTCAAGACATTGCGTGGGGTGCTGAATATTATCATATCATTTAAAAAGCTTGTGGATTGTCACAATTTGTGGATAGCCCACAAATAATTGAAACAATAAGGGGCCGTTCACTTATTACGTTACAATATGTTACAACTCACAACCCCCAACGTTCATAATTTATTTTATCATTAAAAATGTGGAAAATTTGAAAAAATGTTTTTGGTGTGAATTTGTAAACAAATCTTTTTCGTGAACTTTTTTTTAAAAGACAGGCGACAGTTAGAACGTTACATACTTCTTGACACCCCCCCCCCCTATGTTACATTTTGTTACAATTTTTCAACCCCCCCACCCCCCTCCCATTAAAATGCGAACGTAATAAGTGAACAGCCCCTAAAGTTTTGAACATTCGTGGAATTTTTAGCCACGACTTGAAGTTTTGAAAGTCAAAAATTAAAATTCATTCAATTTTGCTAATCTTCTTCGTTTTAACCTCACTGGATCTTTAAAATATCAAGCTATATGCTGTTTAGCACTTAATGATCAATATTTTAGCATCCAAAAGTCTTGTTTTACTGTTAAATTACATGAAAAATCAAATTTCCAAATTTGTGCTTTTTTCAAACATTTTAAAAATTTGAATTGAAAGCTTTTTAACGGATAAAAGCTTTGTTGAGAAAAGCTCAGCTTTATTTCTTGCATAATTGAAAGCTCGCATTAAAAGCATGAATCATGAATGAACAATTAGCTCCTCTTCATTTTTGTCTCTAAATTTCATAAACGAGAAAAAAATTGAAAGTTCAAGAATCAAAAATTAATGGCATCTTAAGATGTATGTAGTTTATAGTACTTAACAAGAGCTTTTAATGTTTATAAGATTATTAAGAGGAAGTCTTTAATATTCATAAATTTTTTTCCTCTTTCAACATTTTTTTTTTTGCTTTCCTTCTTCGAAGAAAATTCATCATTACTTAATATCTCATTTTTTGCAGTATGTATTTTTCTCATTTTCTTAATGTTATTAAATTTTCATCATGATCTTTTATTTTGTAATAGGATTTCACATTTAGAAAGCTTGTAAAAATAGAATTTATTACACATAATC